GACTCCCGAAACGTTTATTTTGTAATGCTTGACATTTCTGCTGAACTATCTTGCTTTCCTGACACTACCAGACATCAATCCATTCTCCTATACCTTGTTATTCACACTGTCATGTTCTCTTTTTCCTTCTCCCTTAGTTTTCACAGTCATAAATTCCCGTTTTCATTTAAGGAACAATGAGAAGAATAAAACAAAAGCACTACGTAAGGAAGCCAAAACACTTCAACAGATAAAAGCTCACAGAAGCGATCTAATGTAAATATTCCACTCAACAGTTGGCCCTTTTCTAGGAAATGACTCGACAGTTTATTTTTCCATACCTTTTCTTGAAGAGACTTCTCTTCTCTTTCATAATCAGACTAACTTCCCTGAAGGACTAGAGCCAATGCAATCTTAATTTCCTCCAAAGATTTTTTCCTGGAATTTTAAGTGTTAATTGTGATGACTGCCAGGCACTGCTATTGATGAAGAGCAACTCTTGCAGGCTATCTTCTTTTCAGCTTCCAAAAGGTAAGTGAGCAAGTCTTACATGACAGAAAACTGAAAAAAAAATCTCTCTAAAACTAGCAACCCCCTCAAATGGTTATTCATACCCCAGTAGCACACATGAGTCATTGAGCATATTCCAATTGCATTAAATACTATATCAAAACTACAAACTACTAGCTACTTCTCACATTTACATTTAACAAGATCTATAGGTCCTATATAGAGAGGACTCTATGCCCAAAACTTCGGACAGATAAAGGTTTACTGAAATATTTACAGAAATGTTTACACAACACAGTCTCATGTTCTGTGTTCCAAATTGCTCGGATAAACAAATCATTTCTTAAATGTTTTTATTATCTCAGTGACTGTGGAGTTAGTGTGGTAGGCATGTGATTTTCACATAGGAATCTGCAGATGCAATTTCAAAAAGAACAATAAATACAATCTTAGATCAAATACTTTTGCCTTCTCACATAAGCTGTCTTAAACCCAAATAGCAAACACTAAGCAATCAGACACACGTTCATCTAGGAAAAATCTTCCATTTAAGACTTTACCAAACCTCCTTGCCAGCCACTTAGTCTACCACAAAATCTAACTTGTTTATTTAAACAGCTGCTGGAGGAATAGATGAAGGGGCTGATGAATGCTCATTAGCTCTGTTCTGTTGACTTTCCAGAGGTGGGTCAATCTCCTTTAAAGGGCAGGTAACATCTTAAACTACACCAGGTGCCTGAAAAATTAACATTTACCTAAATGCTAAGGACTATTTTTGCTCTACTGAATGATTAAAATAATATCTGATGCCTAATGAGTTATTTCTGCTTGGAAAGGGAACTCATAGAAGGAATTACTTCAGCACAATTTTGTTTATTTACAGTGAGTGGGCATACATTCCTCTTTCTCTGAACACTGCTGGAATAAACTGCACTTTCTTTGCACAGTAGTGTAAACTTGTCTTCATGGCTACTAATGCTCTTTCCCAAAACATCCTGGTTTTTTTCCCCCTCTTCCCAAGCCTCATCTGACAAACGTGGCTACCAAAAATTCTTTTTCTGTGGCTTTATTTTCGAAGCTGCTTTCTGAGGCTGTGGACAGATGTGCTAATCCAGATCCAAAAGAGGTTTATGTGACCAAACCCCAATTGTTTAGCTCAGGCCATCAATTCAAACACCTAAGTTGACTGCATTGGCACAAATTGCTCTGCTGACAAACGTGTGCAGGTATCAATATCCAAACAGGAATGCATCAGAAGCTGGCATTGATGACTTCCACCAAAATACCCTGAACCCAGAAGCAGGTGTCTGCCCAGAGCCTGATACTCATAGGTATAACCTCCCATAAACCAATTAATGCTGTAGGCCCCTTGCTTGCTACTCTCTCCTGTGTAAAAACCTCCTTTTTGCTGAGATGCTGCCTATTTCTGATCTGTTCTCTGTGACAGAGGTAACCACATAACTGCACAGACAGGTAAGAGGGTGGACAAAAAGCTACTTCAGCTGGCACTCCCATAGCAAGAAAGCTCATTAATTAAACTTTAGCTTTTACATGACCAGCACTTCAGACCTCCTGGGTCACTGGTATTACCCAACACAGAACCTGAAATCCCTACAGTTAGCCAAGGTCAGTGGAGTGCCAGCAAGTGTTCCCTCCAACTTCACGTAAGTCTGAGATCCCATACAAACTTAAGATACAAATGCTTCCAACATTCTCTGTCCCCCAAAATGTTGTTCAATGAAAGAAAACCTTTTTAGTTTAGTATCTGTCCTTTTCAAGATGTCTTAAACAAATAACCACTAACACAAGCAGTGTTTCATTTGCTATTGCAAGCGGTCCAACTTCTGTCAATCTCCTTTGTGCTGATAACCTAAAAATCTCGTTAGATGAAAATTAATCTTTGAAAAGCCTCTATACAGGTTGCTTTGGAGTCCTATTCTTATGCCCATAGCAATAAGGCTACTTAATTCTTAATTATGCACAGATAATGTAACTTGTGTTTACATTTATATATGGTGTAAACACACAGAATGCATTCAGCAACAAGAAAATGAAGAAATATCTATCTCCAAAAACTAATTATAACTAATTTATAAACGAGAAAGACATCAGCAGTATACTGAAGTTTACTTACAAAGCTTTGTATTGAGACTTACTCATAAACAGTATCAGTATCAAAAGCACTAAGCCTGATTAACGATTTCCTCTTCCATGTGGATGCATGAACTTCTCTGAATGCTTATTTCTTCTGTCATATATTTGAAAGCACTTGATGAATTCTTAAAACTAAACCACTAAAGCAACAGTTCCTTTGACTGCTCTTTGATCTAATATAACTTCAGCAGCTACATTAATCTAACGATTAAGTTTGCAGTTAGGTAGCTCTTTTGTGTTTTAAGGTAGAGTTGGTAGACTTTGCTCTTCATTCTGTAACTACAGCACAAACCAATTTTTTTTAGCAAGTGAAATTGTTCTGAGGCTACTGGGCTTTGGCAATCCAGAACTACTTTCCTGTTTCTCTCCTCTTATCTTTAACTCAGTTTACTCAATGAAACTATTCTGAATAATTTCACTTTACTTCTAATGTGTTTTTCTTCCTAGTTTCCAAACAAGTTTGTAACTTTGAATGCAAATAGTTACAAAAACCCGCCAAAGTTATTTTTGAAATCTCTGAACGCATCTTTTAAAGGAAATACAACTCACATTAGGGTTTATATATCTCACAATCTCAGTGAAACCTAAAATTTTAACCAAAATTAAGATGCCAGTAAAATTTACCATGGTTCCTTTCATTTGATTTGCCACAGTGCTTGCTGTATACTGACCTATTTATTCTCCTCTGAATACTTTCTCTACATACTATAGTAAATACATAAAGTAGAACAGTTTTCAACTCACGGCTATCTCTCCCAGACATTTTATTAGACACTTGCTAAATATTCAACCACATTATACATAGTTATGTCAGTGGTTAAGAGATGAAAGCCTACATTACTTCACTCAGGAAATGAAGTGCAGGTTTTGGTCCCTTCATTGCAATCTCCTTCAATGCATGGAACGTAAATGTTTTTGCAATGGATTGTTCAACAAGCAGGTGATGCAATGGCTTACACATCTAAGCCACTGTATGATTTTGAAGGCCACAGGGTTAATATATAGTGATAAACTATTCAGTTATAATTGTAGCTTTTGTGTCAGTTAAATTGAGCACTCTCAATACTACACAGTTAAAACCTACTCTGTTATTTAACAGAAATTTGAATTTTCGTTCCCCTGAAATCTAACTGATTCAACATCTATTAAGTTATATTATCCCACGGCAAAAATCAAATCCACAGGAATTTTTCCAAAAATACCAGTTTTATTTCTTTTTTCCCACAACATAAATCATACTAATATGATGGAAGTTTTTTAATTTCAGGTTTGAGTTTTCTAGACGTCTTACGGTCATTACTATCTGGAAATCTTAGGTGATAAAGGGATCAGTGAGACCATTTCTTATGATCTCTAATACAACACAGGGTGAAGGACTTCTCTGAACAATGGCAATCCCCACTTCTTGCTTTAAAACTTCTGGGACAAATTTCTATGATGTCATAAAGACATTTTCCACATGAAAAGCTAGCCCACAATCAAAAATGACATAATCTGAAATATTCCAGTGATAGACTGTTAACAAACACCAATGTTGCAGCTGCCCAAATTGCACTGCAATTATTTTAAACAAAGATGAGAAGTGTAACAATCAAAAACAAATGGTAACATGACTGAATTTCCCTAGACCAAAATATCTTTGATACCTGTGAATTTCACCTTACCATAGGGAAAAATAATAATTGCTACTTAAGGTAACATGTATAAGGCAGTAACAAAGCCATACTTACTAATTTCTACATGAAGTAATTCCTACATATTTATTTAACTAAGAAGGTCTTTTTGAAAGTAATACAATCTTGATCTAAAAATTTCAAATGACAGCAAATCTAGCTACATACTGTAGCAAACTGTTAGACAGTTTTGCCTACACAGTTTCAGTCTAGAAATAGCTTTTGGCTCCTAACGACAGTATAGTGTTATTTCTCATTTAATATCTTTTCCCTACTCTAAAGTGTCTTTACTATCACTATCAATGCATTAGTTCCTGACAATTACCAAAGATTTTAGGTATTGCCAGGTTATGTATAGTATTGGTCCTCATTATTGACACTTTTGAAAGGACGAGTTACAACTGTGAACTTAATCTTGAGTCAAATTACCAGAAAACCTTCCCACAATGCTTTTGGCATTCTGTAAAGCAGGCAGTACACTATCAGTGTGGATCCTCTCCCCTTCTCCAAATACAATCAGGATTTTGTGTTTTCAAAGTGTCATGGTCACATCAAAAATACATTAAGCACTGGATAAAAATAGCTAAAACTTTTAAATTGTTTCCTGTAATTGTACTTTTTCCCTTTTGAACTTGCATCTTCAAGATAGACAGACATTTATGCCTGAAGCTAAGTGTTACTCACTGTGAACAAGGAAGCAAAAATCTTTCCACATCAGCAACAGAGTAAGCTTTGTGAAGCCTTCTGCATCATATTCCACCACACCACTATCAACAAAAAATACAAAAAAATGAATACAATTTTACCTACCATTCATTCTAAGACTGAATGATAAATATGCAAATTCTGTATTACAAGCACTGGTTTTTTGTTTGTTTATTCAGAAGCTTCCAGTATTTGCTTTAACAGTTACAATTTTCTAGCTAAATAAAAATTAAACTCCTAATCTTAATAATCTTCTTATTTATGCTGTGGTATTGGATTTTCTTACCCGAAGAAAGGCCATGCTCAGTTTATATAAATACACTTTAGAATGAAAGGAGACCTGCTAATGCATCTGCAGTTCTAAATTGACAAAAACTGTAGACACACAAATTCCCTGTATGCTGCTCAGATTAAGATAATTTATTAATTCTGTAGTAAGTGATAGGGTAAAACTGAAAATGCATAGGCTGAGAAGAGTTTAAATTCGAAAATTCAGAAGAGTGTGTGTATATATATATATATAAAAGCAAAGCATGAGAACGTACAAAAAATTAAATACAGAAGACACTTGTTCAGTAGACCGATTAAAAGTTTCAAACATCAGGAGTTGGTATCCTCTAAAAGTTTCAAGCAGTATCATAGAATCATGAACCACTTTGCAAGTGAAATAAAACCATAGGCACACCTGGGTCATTTCTGTAGTGTAGCTTTCTCAGAAGAAAAAGAAATATCTTGTTTTCGTAAGGATTGAGTTGCATTGACTTTCTATCTACTCATATGTCCAGTTCAAGTCATTGTTATCTATCTATAGGTGTGTAAAATTTGGGTGCATGGTGGAAGACACCTGTCTTCCTGTCCACACTTGGGAGACCTGAGATTTGAAGGGCACCTGAATATCCATGTGATTTGACATCACCGCTCAGAAGCAGAAGCCTCCTCCTCACAACAAGGTAAAGCGCTATTGGTCAGACAATTGCTGTGGCATTGGCTCCTGGACTCTCACTCAAGTCAGTATTTCGGTGGGAAACCAAAGTGCCTACCCTTCACAGTGCCAAGGCACCCCCTGTTTAGTTGATTTGTGAAGGTCATGTGCCATCATGCCAGGCCACAGACCTTTGAACTGCAGGAATTCAACATGACCCGACAGCCCTTTCTCTCAAGAGAGACAAGATACTGGTCGGCGGTGGGAGCAGCTGGTCTCCCAATCCTGCCTTTACGCCAAGCAGTGGTTTCTGGCTCCTGCAAGGCTTGGAACCGTACCCTCTTCCCCACCCTCCGACCTCAGTTACCACCTATTACTGTAAGACCCCTCCAGTCATTTATTCAGAAACGAGCACACTGCTTTTGCATGAGGAAAAAATCCCTACTGTCCTTTCCTATAATCAGCTATTTTCTAGCAAAATCAGATTGGCAGCTGGCACAGAAGTGAAGTAACACTGAACTTCATTCCAGTACTGCTACAGAGAGACAATCTATATGCACCATTCTGTGAAAAGTGACCAGATTTCATCTTATCCAGTGGACAGCAGTCCCACAACCAAAGACCATGAGCAGAAAACACTTTCCCCCATGCTACAGAAAATAATGCATCAAAAGAAAACTTACGTTCCAAAGTGACTCAGGAAAGCCGCGATATACTCTCTTCTCTTATGGTATCCCTGAATAACATACTGTACCTTAAAAAAGAAAGAAACAAACAAATCCAAAGCTACAGAAAGATAAAAAAAGCCAATGCTCCCAATTTGTCATATATTCCTTGTTAAGGAAGATTTATGTTTGACATGGTAGCAGTTCTGAATCCTACATTTAGCTTGCATGATTTCCCTAAAGAATCCTAAAACGCCTTTAAAACAAACAGTGGATCTTGCACACAGAAAATCCGGTAAGGAAATCTTTTCACTCACTTCTAAGTGAAACGCAGTATTTCACAACATACTGAAGCGCTGTTTAACTATGCAAGATAAAGAGTGAAGAAAAGAAATACGTGACCTTGCCTTGAAGTTTGAGCAGGAAGCCACGATAGGCAAATCATAAGTACCTGAACTGGCAGTTGGTTAAGTGTCAAAATAACATTCTGGTTATAAAAGAAAAAAAAAATATTTCACAACTGATCTTGGGTGTTTTCTGAAGACTGCACCTCCAGCAAAATCTTCTTAACACTAAGCTCTCTCAGCGGTTTCATGCTGACTCAGGGAGCCACCTACTCAACTGCGAGCATCAATTTCTGAGGCATTCTGGGTTTTGAAAGACTTCCATCCTGGCACAGACAAAATCCAACAATGCTAAACTTGGAAGACTAAAGGCAAAATTCTCCTCTCACCATGTATGTTGTCTTATTGATTTGAATGGGATTACTTAGCAGAACAGTGTGAACAGGGTTCAACCCACAACAGAAACAATGCATGTGTTGTCAGGCTGCAAGAGCTTCTGGTTTACAACTGGTTACTTCAAGTACGTACGGTATGGTTCCATATGTGACTCTCTATGTAAATCCCTTTGCCTTCCAGAATGAAAACTAACATTTTAAAAACCTTTTTACCCCACTGAACATGAAAAGAACAGGAAGAGTATTTTTCTTGGCTATGGTAATACTAGAATGCCTTCGCTGGCAAATGCTTTCCTGAATTTTTTGAAAATGCCTTGATACAATCATTGCGGAGAGCTATCTTGTACCCCTTAAAGCTAAATTCTTTTTATAAATTGAGACTTTTTTTGTTTTATAAAATACTACGATTATTTTGAAAACTGTGTGTGGGATCTGAAATGTTATTTTGGAAAAAGGAAAACACATGATAAGTTTGCTTAAGGGACTTTGTTTAAGAAAGGATAAAAACAGTCCTGTGTACTTGCAGATTTTAAAAACAGAAAGTAATTTTAAAAGAAAACCACAACAAAAACAACTCTAAAGATAGATTCCAATATAATTATGGAAACACATTCTGAAGATTTTTTTCTAAAAGAGAAAACTATTTTCCTCATTTGAACAAATAAAGGTAAAAATAATATACAAATACAAATAGGAGGTCTGTAATAGGCAGATTGCTAGATGTTGGCCCCTAAGCTTTCTTTTGCAAATTATACTTCAATAATGGAGAAGCTTTCAAAATACTATACTCACTCTTTTTTGTTTAAACAGTAAGCTAACCGGAACACAAACTTTTCAGCAGCCCTAAGTAGCTATTACTGTATAAACATCCAAGTAGTCTGCTGATTCAGTTCGTTTAGATGAAACATCTGAGAAGAAAATCACTGAAAGTACTCAAAACCTACAATGATGACTATGGTATGAGAACTTAGATAACTTCCAACTGGAAAAATAATATGCAAACTACACATTTGTATTTACTAGCAAAATAGTATGCTACAATGCAGTGTTGTACGATACAGTAACATTTTATCCTAAATCGTAACGTCACAGTAAGAAAAATCCACTCCAGGATCTGATCCCAAACATGCTTGTTCACCTAAAAGAGTCATTATATTCAGTGCCCTGTGTAGGTGCTCAACTCTTATCAAGAAGCTATTCTTTGTGTACTTCACCTTAAGTATGCCCTGCTTGGACTACCTGGCAGAAGAAAAGCTATGTATGTCTATGGAAATGCTATAGGGTGTTACTGCAATACAGTACAACACATAAGGGAAAGGAAAATTGAGTTCTCTCTACTAACTTACCTTGTTTGTTAGCAGCTGGCATACTTGGGGTACATAGTCGATAAGACAACCTCCACCAGGAAAGGCTGGGATGTGAAGGGCAGATGATCCACCAAGCGCACTAGAAACAGAAGTTAATTTAACAGTACATTACACAGACAGTCCCTGGGATTTGAAAGTGATTTTTATGCTTAAAGTCAGAGGGCCCTGATGAGGAAGTGCATTTTATGCTGTGGCGATATAAAAAGTATTGAGTGACACCATCTATAAAAACAAGTTATACCATGACCCACTGTAATTAAACTACTTTAATCAAGAGTATCACTAATGCAAAGAATTCTCTCAGGAAATTACTTTTTCATTGTAAACAGTTCTGTTTCTTAGCCCTCATCAATAAGATGTGGAGCACTGTAGTTAAGGTATCTTGTTATTGTGGGAGGAGAGGACTTTGAGCCTTGAATTATTCAAAAAGCCACCATCAGTCAAACCAGCTAAGAATAAGAAAAATAGTTTGGACTGAGGAGTGGCCAGATGCAACTGTCAGTCATGCCATCTACTCCAGTTCTGGGCCTCCCAGTACAACACAGATGTTGACCTACTAGATCAAGGGGGCAGGGGGCCAGAAAGGTTATTAGGTACATGATGTAAGGGGAGATGTTGCAAGAAATGGGTTTGTTCAGTCTTAAGAGAACACTGGGGAGGGGGGATATTGAAGAGGGGAGTTGAAGGCATATTGTTATTGAAGGCATGTTGATGCCTTCAATTCTCTAACAGAACAATACAGAGAAGATGGAGCCAGAGGCTTCTCCGAAGTGCACAGTGACAGGATGAAAGGCAATGCAGACATGTTGCAAGAAAGGAAGTTCTGGTTAGCTATTAGGAAAAACATTTTCACAATGAGAGTAATCAAATACTGGAAGACAGGCCCACAGGGGCTGGGGAATCTTTGTCCTCGGAGGTGCTCAAAGCTCAGCGGAACAACTGCCACGAGCACACTGATCTAAGCTGGCCCTGCTCTGAGGAGGGGCTTGGCCAGATAACCTCCAGAGCTTCTCTCCAGTCTGCATTGTTTTATGATTATATTCCCTGATTCTATGATTTTGTTCATCCCCAGAAGGAAATAATGCTAACAAAGATAACAACTCTGTCCATTTACTGCTGCACAGACTGGAAATCTGAATAGCAGGAATTCACAGAAATAAGATAACTTCAGAGATGTATTTAGGCACCTTAATCAATTGCCTTTATCATAGGACGGAAGACTGAAGCACGCCTGCTGTTGCCGAGGATAATGGATTCTTTGGTGTGGAAAGATCTAGCACTTTTTATTTAAATCAGGTTGTATAAAGCAACAACCAGCTAAAGTCCATGCTACTTTCTTTTAGCAGTACTGACCTAAATCTTTCTTACAGTCTTTTACCAATCAAAAGGGATATGAGTTTGCATTACACACTGCGGCTTACATCATTCACTAAACATCCAGACCCTTGTTGGGTAAAATTAAAAAGCTTGAAAAGCTAAGTTACTTTGTGGCGTCCTGTTTACTTGCTGTTTCCATGAAAGATTACACTGGCTGGAAAGTTCGTTCTTCTCTGCAAAATAAGGCTCGTATTCTCCAACGGGACCTGCCCTTGTATTTTCCTCGCTACTTGATAAGATATCACTTTGGTAGGTATAAAGGTCTACAGTTGTACATCCCTTTGAAGGAACAGAGCCTACATAAATCAAAAAAACCCAACCTCATAATGAGGTATATGGAAATCTGCTACTCAGGCAAAACAGTCTGGATTCAGCAGACTGTTCACCACATGGAACAATTCTGCAGGTCTGGATTTTGCATATGCAACGATGAAAAAAAAAAACCCTTGAGTACACCACAGCTACATTAAAAAAAACAAACAAACTTTTCCAGCAGAAGTAAGACTTGAACAGCTTTTTTTTTTTAAAAAAAAAAAAAAAGAATTCAGTTTCCTTGCTGCTACCCCCTTACTAAAATTATTCCCAAGGGAGTATAATTTTGCTACTTGTGGATGTTAAAAACAGTGAAGCATGACTATTAGATTATTACTAAGTTGGAACATTTCTGAAACAGTAGTTTGCTCTTAGGAAATTGAAAGTATACTGGGTCCAACAGTCTTTAATGTTGGAAAATGAAAGACTTGTCCCTCTCCTAGTATGTTACAAGTGGGTTGTGAACCTTACTTTAAGACCCTGGCTTTCAGTTTATTAAACTCCTTAAATGCTTATATAAATATATCCACAAAAGCTTCCAATCTCATACACAGAGCAAATGGTACTGTCCGTTTTGCATCCTGCCTTGCCTCATTTGCAACCAAGTCCAAGTTCCCCCTCAGCATGGAGATAGCACTCGAGACGCTCAGATGACTGCAACAGGAATTACAGGCTCCTCTCTCAGTTACAATAGCAGGCATGAAATTAGGAGTAATCTCTAACAGATTTCACATGCAAAAAAGCTTCCACTCCTACATCATCAGCTTCCAATACATCTTCCAGACTGAATTATTATGATTTGTGAATAAGGGCTTCCCATTTTACCTTTACCTACATTTATCCATCTTTTGAAAGCAGTCAATCCGTAAAAACTTGTTGAGATAAATGGGAATTCAACCCTTCTCAAATGGGAATTCAACCCTTCTCAAATGAAAAACAGACTGCTACAAGGTGTGGTTTCTGAGAAAGAGGTCCCTCCACAGAAAAAAGGCTGGAATTTCTAGTATAATTATCTTCTGAAAACAGAATAAAGCTGTACAATATGTAATTTATGTTCTATAGAAATAATTATGGGTAGGGAAAATTAAGAGTGGACAGGCATCTTTGTTCCCTCTATTGGGTCAGAGAATCTGCTTATTAAATACGTTAATAAAATACTGCATTCGCACAGGACCTTGCCCCTGACTATCTAAAAACTTTCTATATAAACATTCAGCAATTAAGGTTCATCTGCCTTATGGAACTGATATTTATCTTTTATTTTTTAACATGTAAGGAAGCTTTTGCTCAGAGTTTAATTTGACTATGCTGTATTATGTCTCTGTCGTGCCAAAGGAACATACTTGCAGTACCTCACAATCGTAAGACAGGGCAAGAGGCCGTAATAATTCCTTTGACCATATAATAAACCTGCAGTTGAAGAAAGAAATGACTTACTCAACGTCAAACAAGAAGGACCTGTAAAAGGTACAGGAAACATGTAAAATGGAGATGATTAGGCAAGGTAATTTCAGCATGCAGCTCAGTGTCTAATGATGCTTTTTGAGGTCCCTCAAAGCCCAATCAAAAGAAAATGCGTAAGACAAAAAATGCCCTAAGAAGCCTTTTATAGTCAAGGACATTCTATTTGCCAAGAGATTTCACCAGCACAAGCTAAAGATTCCTGCACGTCAGACCTGCTTTCTGGGTAGCTAAGCCTCTTGGAGCATAGATCTTACATGTATCTGTTTGTGATTAAGCTTTTCTTCTTGGTATCACTGTTATACACCCCTCACAAATAAAACACGTTTTTATATCCAGGAATAAAAACAATTATAACATCACACTACCAGGTTTGGTGACATTCATTTTATCAAGATGACAAAAAAAACCCCAAACAAAAAACCATCAAGAGATAGGAGCCGGAAGTTATTTTGTTTTTAAACACAAACTAATTAATACTGCTCCCCTACAGCTGCAAAAGTCTAGTTTCAGCACAACCAATTGAATTGTGTTTGATATTTATGCAATTTTTTCCCAGTAACCTGCTACTTTTTAAAGTCTAAGATTCTAACAGATTCTGATAGTGGCTTTCTATAATTATCATAATTCAAGAAGCAACAGTCTTAGTGGATGCTATTTCATTAGGGCTGGTATCGGATGAAGATAAATACATGACAGATCTACCTATCTATGAGATAAGGTTGCATGAACATGTTGGAACACAGAGACAAAGATCTGTTGGCCTCAGCATTTTATTCACTTGCTGTTACTCTAAACCTACTCAGCTCTGCAAACCAACTTCACCTCATTTTAAGACAGACCAGAGACTCCTTCGCAGCAAGTCCCTGCCTTCCTGCGTTTCCACAGTGTCAGACACAATGTGGTTCTGATCCATGGTCTCTGAATTAAGCTGGATTTTGTGAGGAACTCACTACTGAATTCAACAAGACCAGCAGTCAGCCTGCATTAATAGCAGTTTTGTTCTGCGACACACTGAAATACAAGTGCAGAGAGCGTAGCTGGAGTATGTTTACATTTCTGCTGTTGACTGCTGCATTCCAAGTGACTTGCTCTGTCTGTCTCTCAATGGATCTATTTATTCAGGCCTGTGTACAAAATGCAAAATTCTTTCCCATTTTTTGATAGCTTATTATTACATTAAAATGTCTTTCTCAAGAAATGATCCTTTTAAAGGATCATTTAAAAAAAGGATCATTAAAAAAAAAAAGCATAGCATTAATTCACAGGTTTACAGTGGTGAATGTTTTCGTTCTTGAGTATTTATGTGTAAAGAACCAGTTATCTCCCCTTCCTTAAAAACATCACTTCACTAGAGAAGAAGGGTGCTTCCAAGTCTGAAGCTCAGAGGACTGGGTGGTTTGGCAAGGCAGACTTAGAGGCTCAAAGGAAGATGCTCCTACTCCCATCCCTACACTACCCCCTTCCGTACAACTCTCCCCGTGCTCTCTTGGGCTGGTCTATTTCCTCTCCACTCCTTCCATTCACCCCACCTCTTCCCTGCAACCCATTTTGCTTCCTCCCTTCTCTGAGCAGAAAAATGCAGGTTTCTCTACATTACTGGGAAACTTTTGAGCGGAGTCTGAAAAATGAGGATTATTTCAGACTACCCCCTACATCTTACAGGGTCCCGCAAGAATAAAAGTATCACAGTTTATAAAGTTACGTGCTAACACACGTTACGGTACTACAGTTAAGCACCTGTACACACGTAATACTGTCTATCTATTTCTCTCTCTCTTTTTTTTGCCTGTGCTTGTTACCTTTCCCCATCTCCCAAAATTGCATAAGCTTTTCTTTGAAAGAAGTAATCACAAAGAAAAGAACATCTACGCAAAAGTTTCATGCTCTTAAAAGAAGGTACCTTGCACAATGCCAGTTACTTTTGCT